TTGGGAAGCGGAGTGGAAAACCGGGCCGTACCCTCTGCGGGAGCAGAGCCTGGCGAACGCTGCGACCTGAGTGCGGTTGAGCCAGGAATGACCAGCTTGGCTGTTTGCAGTGCAAGGAGTCGGTGGTCCGAACCCTGAAGGATCACTCTGGACCCCGCAGGGCAGAGCTACTCTTTCCATAGCATCACAGACTGGTTGAGGTTGGAGGGGACCTCTGAAGGTCATCTGGTCCTACCCCCTGCTCAAGCAGGGCCACCTACAGCCCTTGCCCAGGACTACGTCCAGATGGCTGTTGAGTATCTCCAAGGATGGAGACTCCACAACCTCCCTGGGCAACCTGTGCCAGTGCTCGGTCACCCTCACAGTAAAAAAGTGTTTCCTGGTGTGCAGAGCGACCCTCCCGTGTTTCAGTCTGTGCCCACGGCCTCTGGTCCTGCCACAGGGCACCACTGAGAAGAGCCTGGCTCCATCTCCTTATAGCCTCCCATCAGGTATTTATATACATCGATAAGATCCCCCTGAGCCTCCTCCTCTCCAGGCTGAAGTCCCAGCTCCCTCAGCCTTTCCTCAAAGGAGAGATGCTCCAGGACCTTCATCATCCTCGTGGCCCTTCCTTGGACTCTCTCCAGTATCTCCACATCTCTCTTGCACTGAGGAGCCTAGAACTGGACCCAGTACTCCAGGTGTGGCCTCACCAGTGCTGAGCAGAGGGGAAGGATCACCTCCCTTGACCTGCTGGCAATGCTTTGCCCAATACAGCCCAGGACACCATTCGCCTTCTTTGCCCCAAGGGCACATTGCTGGCTTATGGTCAATCTGGTGCCCACGAGCATCCCCAGCTCCTTTTCTGCTTCCCAGCTGGGTGGCCCCCAGCACACACTGGTGCCTGGGGTTGTTCCTCCCCAGGGACAGGACTTTGCACTTCCCCTTCCTGAACTTCATGAGGTTCATGTCGGCCAATTTCTCCAGCCTGCCAAGGTCCCTCTGGCCGGCAGCATGACCCTCTGGCCTATCAGCCACTCCTCCCAGTCTGGGAAGACGCATTGCATCTGTTTTTACCCCAGAAAACCAAAACATCCATAAAATCCTACACGAAGGACCCCGCCCAACCCACTCTGGACTGCCCGCAGAGGTAAACCGAGTCTTTATAGTTCTGTTTGCACTCTTTGTTTCCTAGGAGGGGCCCTAGGAATGGTTGGACTGGATGATCTTAAAGGTCTTTTCCAACCTAAACGATTCTATGATTCTAGGATTCTAGGAGCAGACAGCCCTGCTCTTGCCGGGGATGCTCTTTCTGCATCCTACAGCGACAAGGCGCGCCAGACCACACGTAGTAAATGGCCTGCCATCCATCTTACAGAAGTCAATAGCAGGTGTAGTATTTATGCCAAATCACGCCCAGTATTTCATAAAACAGATAAATAAATAGTTCTGGGAAACCCACAGATTATCACCAGCTGTTTGGGGGGCAGCGTGCCAGAAACACACAGTTCAGTAACCTAGTATACTTACTAGGGTTTTTTGAAAAGGGCAAGACTAAAAGTTAAGATAGACATAAACACATTTGGTAAAAGAAGGCCAAGTTCCTTTTCATGAGAAGTAATCAGCAGCAAATATTTAAATTACCTAATAAGCTTAAGGGAGGATTAGGAGACGGGAAATGATCTGACTTCTACCAGCATAAGTCCAAGCTCCCACCAAAGACAAGGTGAGGGTTAAAACACCAGTTACAGCAGACTTCACTGATCGTGTTAATCAATATTCATCAACAGAGAAGTCTGCAAAGCCACAGAATCAAGTTTAACAACAAAGGTAAGCGTATCGGGCTGTCTCCTACCTGCAGTGCCGCAAACATCATCATTTCTTCCTCCGTGCACTCGATCTCCTCCAGCAGAATAGCCCATTTGGACTGCTCGTACAGCTGGTTGATCCTGATCGCATCGTACTACGGCACAACGCAAAAACACAGATCGGTTGTAAAATGTACGAGCGCGCTTCAAGACAAACCACTTCATCTTTCATTTCAACGCAACCCTTCAACCCGAGACTCCGGAAGAGCCTCCGCCACCGAAGCGGCGTGGCTCTAAGCAACCCTTTGAGCACCTCTAGCAACACCTAAGCATTAGCAAACCGGTACGTGGGAGCACGCAAAGCCCGGTTTGATGCCTGCAAGACCCATTTCCAAGGCGGTGGAAGGTTTACCAACACAAAAGCACATTAGAGATAGAGGCATCCTTTGCTCAAAGCCTTTGCCTGCAAGATGCAAGTAAAATCTATAGCTCTGTACCTTTGGATTCAGGTCAAAAAAGCTGTAGTACTTGAACCGGAGCAGCAAAGCTTCATTTTCTTTCACCTCCTGCTCCATAAGGGATCGGGACGAATCCAGCCATCTGTAAATTGTCAACACGGGATAACACACACAAAAAGCTCCGGCGAAGTTGTGATGACACTTTCAAGAATGCAATTTAAAACCGCATATTGGGGGCGGGGAGGGGGGGAAAAGAAGAAAAAAGCAGAGAAACAAATCCTTAACTTACCCTTGGTTGATTTTGGCTTTATCGAGCAGCGCCTGTGGCTTGTACATTTTAGCTAAGGACTCTGGGGAGGTGACGGGCTGGCTCACGGCCAGGATGCCCGGGTTCCCCTCCGACAAGGCGCTGTCACCGAACCAGGCTGAAGTGGGTGACAGGGGACTGCCGTCGTGAGCGTCGTAGGTCGGTGTCATCGTTTTGCTATAAAGTCCTGGGCTCGAATATATGTTTCCTACCGGTAGGAGGAATAAAAGCTGGGAGTTAGCTCACGGCCAAGCCCTGCCTGCTCCCAACCAAGCCAACTCAGACACAAACCCGAAGCCAGCGGATGAAAAACCTTCCCTTTTTTTACCATTTTTTTTTTTTTTTCCCCGCAATGGGAAAACACTGCGCTGCTTGTTTTCCCATGAAAAGCTGCCCCTCTCTCTCAACTCTTCTCCTAGAACAAAACTGATGGAAAACTCATTCTAGCCCAAAGCCATGGGAAAAGGCGCAGGTCTCCCACGCCGGGAAACTCCTGCCCCCTGCGTTTCTGCGGCACCTGGGACACCAACAGCCCCCGACTTACCGGTATTACCTGTTGCTTAAAGATTTTGGAAGTCAAAGGTTTTAGAGGAGCAGGAAAATAAACTAAGGGCGCGGCCAAAGAGACCAGAGGCAGAGCGCAAAAGTCCTACTGAGGTGGAGCTCACCTTTGACGGGGCCGATGTAAAGAATATCGTTGCCTATAGAGAGGGAAAGAAAGGAGGGAAGTGAGAAGGAAAGTCACCGGGAGAGTAGGAAAGGACAGAAGCCGAAAATGGGCATTTTCGGATGAGGGCAGAACAGCACAGGTGAGGTTTAACCACCCAAACGGAGTGTTTGCAGCAGCGCTGGTGGACTCGGCAGGCAAAGCACCCAAAGTGACTCCACGGTTATTTTATTCACGTTACAAGAAACAGCCGGGCACGGAAATGCGGCATTTCACGGACGGAAAAGCTTGCTGAGACAGCCAAACAAATTTGGTATTAATGCGCTGAGCAAATGGTGCGATTTGGTGCAAAACCGATCCCGAAGCACGCATTACTCCCAGGCCTTTTAAAGCTTTACAGCTTGTACAGACTCAAAGCAGACCAAAAAAACCCTTTTATAATTACAAATTTGAAGAGAAGAAAGTGGACCCAGCTTGGTATCTCATATCCCAAAATAGCTGAGAGCTAAATAGTCCCTATTCATTTCATGGGAGCATTGATTTTTACGTTAAGAATATAAAATAAGGATTTTTCAAAATAAGGGAGGTTCAACGACCGTATCCTAATGTCAGTAATTCCACTGCGTATGTACATTGGGCAATGAGCTCAGCATCATTTGCTGGGCATAAATCTGTGCACCAGTACCAAGAAGGACCAACAACTGGCTTTTTGGGAAAGAGCTGTGTCCTTTTTAAATCACGAACCTGTTCAGCCGTGCAATTCAATGCACCCAAACTCTACCTCCGAGAGCACTACTAAGGGTGTTGAAGGTGTGTGTGGCAGGGTTGAGATGCCACAAGCGAGGTCTTCTGTGCCACCTCCTGCTGCTGCCCTGAACCACCAGCTCGGGCCACCCTCCAGCTCCTCACTCCAAACAATCCCTCCTCCTGGAATGCCCAAGAAATGACAGAAAGCTGAGCTAGACATCTGGAAAAATCTAAGACCAAAACAACAGAAAAATCTTTCCAAACTCTCATTTTTTTTGCCATGGGTACAGAATCATAGAATGGTTAAGGTTGGAAAAGACCTTTAAGATCATCCAGTCCAACAAGTAACCTAACACTGCCAACTCCACCACTAAACCGATTAAGGGGAGAGTCATAATTTCATGTTTCCTGCCTTGGTGGCTGCATTATTTTTAATGAAAGTAAAACTGGGAATCATGAAGATTGGAAAGGGCCTCTAAGATCATCAGCCCAACCATCAACCCAACACCCCCATGCCCACTAAACCATGTCCCAAAGTGCCACCTCCGCCTGTTTTTTGAACCCCTCCAGGGATGGGGACCCCACCACCTCTCTGGGCAGCCTGGTCCAATGCTTGACTACCCCTTCCCTGAGGAAATTTCTCCTAATATCCAATCTAAACCTCCCCTGATGCAGCTTGAGGCCATTTCCTCTGGTCCTATCGGTTGTTACTTGGGAGAAGAGCCCGACCCCCCCTCCCTGCCCCCTCCTGTCAGGAGCTGCAGAGAGCGATGAGGTCTCCCCTCACCCTTCTCTTCTCCAAGAAGTATCTCAAGGAGACGTACGAACGGTTTGAATCAACAGCATCATACCAATGACAGCCAACATCTTCATTAGGAAACTTAAATAATACAGAAACGTGATTCCAAACTGCCTGACAGGATGGAAGATATAAGAGAAAACGGGATGCTTTTAATGCTCCTGCTAGTTTTGCCAGCATCCTGGTCTGGACTAACGTTTTGACAAAAAGCCTGGGGACCAGTAAGCACCATGGGAACCCGTCACTGAGACAGACCCAGCAAATTGGGTAGGAGCAAAAAAGCTGCAGAAAAGATGAATGGATGGAGATATTCACCTTCAAGCTTCACACTTGCAAGGAGAAGGCCGGGAGTGACTTGCCAGGTACTTATAGCAGGTACCTATACTTTGGGAGTTGGACTCAATGATCCTTGTCGTCCCTTCCAACTTGAGATATTCTTGGATTCAATGATTATAAAAGCAGCAGAAACATTCTCTCCTCACAGACCGTTATAATGCTGGAGCAGAGCCGTCCAACAAGAACCGGCAATAAACCACCACCACCACCCATAAACCGCATCCCGAAAGATGCTCTTGCCTCCTCCCCATCCGCCCTTGCAGTGTGCCAGCCTCAACCTTCACGTGGCTCAAGCAGACAGGGCTGAGCATGAAGTGGACCAACAACAGCAAAACCCACTTCTTGCCCCAAATCGGGCAGGTTTTCCCATGGACTTTCCCCAACATCCCTCCGCTCCAGCACCTGCTCCAGGGGAGCAAAGCTCCCCCTCGGATGTTCTCCTCATCACCTTCTCCGAATGTCTGAAATGTCTCAGAAGAAGCTTCTCTGAAAAAATTTGCCCGAGGCAAGCAATGTCATGGAATGTTCCAGTTGAAATAGCTGTAAGTTTGGCTAAATTATAAGCAAGTGAATACAGGTCTTCTAATGGAAAGTGTTGGGCAACGCGTACTGTGGGTGTATTGACAGCTCTGCCTACAGTGATTTAAATGGGTTTCACTGCCAGGTACGGGGTGCTCAGTGACAAAACATGTCCATTAAATATAAAATAAGCGGATCCTGAAATATTAACTCATTTTACAGAAGCATTCAGTGCACAAACTAATGTTGGAACCATGCTAGAAACAGTTTATTCAGCTTAAAAAGATGACTTTTAACTAATGGGACCTAAACTTCACAGGTAGCTGCAGTAGTTAAAGCTGCAGCAAAAGTAATTTCATTCACAAGGAAAGAAAAACCAGCACATTGATTCAGAGTGACTTGCTGAAAGACCAATAAATAAAATTTAAAAATATTTTTTGCGTACGTTTCCCCCAAAGCAGGCCAAGTATTTCCTATTGATCTAACGGAGATGCTCTCTGTGAACGCTGACTTTTGGAAAGGCTAATTGCTGCTCTTCAAGATGAAAATGCCAAATGAAAATGAAAATTGACTGGAGGCTTGCCCGATGCAGGGAAAACTCCCTGAGCCAGGAGTGGGAGAGGACTAGCCCAGAAGTATTTTTTAAGTAACTGAGAGGAGAAAGAGTGAGACGGGAGCCAAAGGAGGATCATTTTCCCCTTGCTACAGACCCATGCTGACGGTCTGCTGCGGAGCCTGTGGTGCGCATCACTTTGGCATGCCAGCTCCAGGGCATCATCGCCCTCACCCGTGCCCTGCGCGGCCAAAACCTTTCCGCTCGCAAGCCCAGAGCCACCAGCGGCATTAACCACACTGCATCACCTTCACTTGTGCTTCAGTTAATTTAAGACCAATTAATAGAGGTTTAGTGAACTCCACGATATTTTTTTTGAACTAAAGCTGCCCTGCTTCCCTCTCGTCGCTGGATTTAAACCCAAGAGCTTTGGCAGCCAGACACGTCTCGCTCGCCCGGCAGCGCGCATCGCTGCGGCTTTCTCCGCAAGTCCATTTGGGCTAAAGTGCTCCCACTTGACCGACTTTATGGTTTAAGTTCCTGCCATTTGCCTTCAAACACCAGACCTCCGGCAGCCGCGGAGCAGAGCCGAAACACCCCTCCGCTTGCAAACACCACCCCGCATCAATTTGCTGCCTGCGGCAAGAGACGTTCCACCATCAGCGACGTTACTCCGTTAGCAATTCTCTTCGTAGCTCTGCTCGGGTTCTGTAAGCCGGACTGGCCAGCTACCCCCCTCCAGCAATAAAAGGGTTTTCTTTTAGCATTACGATCTATAGCTATGCCCTTAACATAAGGGAACGCTAATGCAATTAATAAAATACTGGTTTTGCTGGGCTATAAATAAGGAGTAGAATGGTGGTGCTGCCTAAAACACACCTGGAATTTGACATTAGGAACGATTTTCCATTTAACTCCTTTCTTAATAGGGTAAGAAAACCTTTCAGTAACACAATCTGAGTGTTAAAGTGGTCACACTTGGTTTCTGTTTTATTTTACAAAGTCTGGTTTGTTCTCCTCCCCTCTATGCGTGACAGCTTCAGGCATGCATCTGTGCGACCGTGACCCGAGTGCTGCAGCCCTGGATGATTTATGGAATTTATCTGAGGTCCGTTTCTTGCGCGGACCTTCAAGAATGAGGTCCGGCCGATACCACTATGTCGTGTGCCCCCCCATTTTATTTTCTGTTTGCCTCCGGCCAACCCCCTCCCTGCAAGCCCATCCTCACAAAGCAAGCCCCAGCTCACCGGACCCCGGCGTGATCAGTGGACCCTCCAGCTCGAAGGCGTCGTCTTCACATTGCTCATCCAACTTCTTCTTTTTTTTCTTTGACGGATCTCTGGGTTTCCTCAAAAGGGAGAGCTCTTCTGGATGCCTGATATCTGGGGAGAAAACGCACCGCTTTCACAAAGGCAGGATGGGAAAAAAAGGGGAAAAAAAGAATATCCTTCCGTTAAGAACAAAATCCCGCAACATGGCAGTATCCCCCTCCATTGATTTTCCTGCTTTGCAATGGTTAAAAATCAAGTTGAGAACATTTTCTCTGCAAGCCTGTCAGAAACAAGCACCGTCCTTGGCTGGAGAGCTAACAAAGCATTTGGGTAAAATGCAGAATTTCCCAGGCTCAGCCACTCAAATGCAAATACAAGCACTGCTAGACCCCGCGACAGAGCCAAGTACCATTCCCACCCATTATCTTAAATACAAAGACAAAAAAATTATGTATTTTAATCAGCATGTAAACCCCTATTTAGGCACCTAACAGGCCAGGTACTCTCACTTCCATAGGAGCAATCCCAGAGTCAAGCCATTTATTTACAGATCAGACTGGAAATTTTAGAGCCTATTATTTAAGGCACGCGCTTTTCAAAGAGATCTTGGCCAAAGTGTTTCCTTTTCACAGCAAATCTCTCCCATTTCCCTGCCCAGAACCATCCTGAATAATTTTGCAACCATGTTATTTAAAACGAAGAGCATCACATCATGTTTGTGTTTTAAGCCATGGGAGTATGGGGGGTGCTAATGAAAAAGAGAATTTTAGGGCCGTATCCCACTAAGGGGGTACTTTGGGATTGCTTCTGCCTGCTGCAGTCACTTCCAAGCGGGAAGGAGCTTTCCAGGAAAGTGAAGCCCACCATCCGTCGTACCACTGAAACTACCGAGGGACCGGAGGGATGCCCAGAGTCCCTCGCCGGTGCTGCAAAAAACAAGAGGGGAGAAAAAAACCCCAACCCCTCCATCTACTCTAAACTGTCCTGAGTCGATTATGTTAAAAAAAGAGTTCAAAAAACGGGCAGAGGTGGCACTTTGGGACAAGGTTTAGTGGGCATGGGGGTGTTGGGTTGATGGTTGGGCTGATGATCTTAGAGGTCCGTTCCAACCTTAGTGATTCCTGGTTTTACTTCCATTAAAAAATACTCCAGCCACCAAGCCAGGAAGCATGAAATTGCTCCTCTCCCCTTAACTGGTTTAGTGGTGGAGTTGGCAGTGTTAGGTTAATGGTTGGACTGGATGATCTTAAAGGTCTTTTCCAACCTAAACCATTCTATGATTCTATGCGGGAACTGACCTGGAAAAGCATTCACCTGGGCATGAAGCCATCCTACTGCAATGATGAAAGGCTGCAAAAAGGTTGGGGAGCTCTGAAATACAGCTTGGGTTGGAAAAAAAAGGAGATTATGGGTCATGCTTGAGCTTGGAAGAAAGAGTTTCGGAGCTCTCCTCTGCAGCCGGTTGTCCATGCCCAAGCCCCTGTGTTGTTTCCAGCTCTGTTTTTTGCATGTTATCGCCCGAAAATGCTCAGCACGGAGATGTGCAAAGCTTCGTCTTCGGGATGCCCTGAGGAAAGCAGCCCCCGGTCCCAGCGCCGCTGCACGTCGAAGCCTCCAGCTGTAGCCGCAAGGGAGGCAAGGAGACGGAGCGGGGGCGGGCCGCTTTGCAGCCAAGCTGTATTTTCCCACCAAGAGGAACGCTGAACAAGACAGTCAGTCATTATCCTAACGAGGAGAGGTTACAGGGTTCGTATCTCACCCTGGCCCCCCGCGCAGCGGCTGTGCCGGCAGCAGTGGGAGTTTGCTCTACGCTCCCAGCTGCGAGAATATAATGAATATAATTAAAACCTGGAATTTGGTCCCCAGCACGTGAGCTGAACGAGCTGCATCCCCACGCCCGTGCCAGCACCTTTCCTGACTGCAAATACGCGGGGAAACGTCAGGCTCTGCTCCCCCCTCGCCCCATCCAGGGCCACACCATGAGCCGATTAACCAGAAGCGTTTTTCCACATTTGTCAAGGGATGGCTGCCA